TAGCGTGCTGCAATATTTTCCTGCAGTCTTTCGAAGGTTTATGTGCTGAATATTAAGGAACTGTTTGGAGTCTTCCGCGAAGCAACGCAGCTACTTTTATCTGTACATGATATATATGCACATTCTCTCCCCCTCCCCAACTATCCGTCACATCCGAAATCTCTGTAAAAAGGAAACACGACACACGTTTTCCCCTATGTGATTTTAGTTGTTTCTTTCCTCTGCTAATAAAGTCTGTCATTAATATGGTTTTCACCTTACTTCAAGGTATGGTTTTTTTGTCAGGATACCGAAAATTCAACCGGGGGAGCATAAATTAATAGTGATTGAAGTACATGTAAATGGTTTTCATCCAAGTGCACTTGGGAAGACACACTTTTGAGGGTCGGTAACAGGAGATAGTAGAAGGAAACATGACGGATGCGTCAACAGAAGAGGTTTCCTAGCGAAACAGCTCAAAACGACCAAGTCTCGGTAGCCCAACAAGCCGAGAGGAAACCTTCCTTATGGAATGTGTGGTTGTGAAAGAAAATCTGAATAACAATTGGCTTTTTTGTAAAATGTACTGTTTGCCGCTTAACCAGGAATGTTCCAAATATTAGAAACACTTTCCTTACAGCCTTGTACCGCAAGCCAAAAATCCGAAGACTACTCCAGATTTCTTCACACGAAACTTAAAGCATTGACTGCTTATTTGAGGTAGTATTTTTTAAAAAGTCAGGGTGGTAGCCCTTTTGAAAGAGGTCTGAAGCAAGTTGCACCAGTTAGAAGTCGCCATGAACAAAGACAGAGGAAATTAGAATGAGTATTTTGGGCTTTTTCTAAACTTCTGAGCTTCCGGTGTGGGATTTTAGTATAACGTGTTGGTGATGGCAAAAAGTTCATTCTTTCCCAAGAAGAAGACACTATCGCCGGGACAGGAAGTTTATTAGCCTGCATTTTCGGATTCTTACTTCAAACCACCACCAGAGACAGTCACAGAGAAAGTACTGCGTACCTTGGGTTTCTATTACCCTTCTCTACGGCTGTCTCCGATGGTGAGTTCGAGTGATAATCCGAAACGTGAGGCAAATAAATTCAAGTGTTCCAGCGATCGCGTCTTCTGCTTCTTAATTGCTTCCTGGAGCTCACCTGTTCGTTTCTCTATCGGTGAGTAATTCTTTGTCGCAGTGGGTAACACTCCTCGGCTGATGAACTTCGCCGAAAAAGACAAGGAAAACTTGAATGCTAGGGGGAGGGGGTTGGCAGATTTGATTAATTCAGTTGACGAAAAATTCGCAGCCTCGGTGGAAGTTGAATCCAGACAGCAAGGACGGCTTTTGCGCAACCAACGCTCTACCATTGAGCTACGAGGCTCACCGTGAGCCGTGCAGTTATTCACGCTTGGATCGATTTTGCCCGCGCAACTTCCTGCGCGTATGGAATCCACCATTACAGATAGAGTGAGCTGACTGCCCAGACAAGATTTCCTAAGCAATCATCTAGAATCCATCAAAATGACTCTAGGCTCGCTTTGTTGTTAGGGGGGTTTGGTAGACTTGCTTAATTCGGTTGAACCCATTGTTAAAGATTCGCGGCCTCGGTGGGAATCAAACTTGAATGGTAATCTTTGGCATATTAGCCTGCATCTGCCAGGCGTACCCAATCCCAGGTGATGCACCATTCGAGGCTCGAGCCCGTGGCCTGCTGATTAGTAGTTCAGCACTCTAACCCTTGAGGCAGTGACCGCTGTGCAGCTGCTGGTGAGGCGCGAGTGTGAGCCCCCAAGGCAGAACGAAACGAGTGACCCCCGTAAGCGATTAGTGAAGCGTCCATCCACCAAACTCCTCGACTCTTGTCCGACTACTGTATAATCGCCTGCGTCAACGTAAGACAGAATATTCAGTGGGTAACAAAGTATCCGTATTCTGTCCTTCAAACAAACTAACGCACTGGAGGTCACTTCCGAATCATTTTTATCTTTAATGAAAACCTAGTATGACCAATCTTCTCTTCAAATGGCACAAATGAATGTACTTTTGAAGTGGCAAATTAAATTTGATACTGGCAAGCGCTATCCTCGGATGTTTCCAACGACTGCTTCGTAGTATAGGTGCAAAAGATAAGAAAATTAAGTTTTTTCAGTCATGACTGTTCCTGGGGAAAAATTGGCATCACCAGAAACCCGGATAAACGGATGTTTGTGCACCGTTACTCAATTTTTGAAAAGTTTGTGTTAGTAACAGTTGTGTGTACACCACCCCGGAACTATGGCACAAGACTACTTGTAATATGGCAATTGCGGTTTTTAAGGATGGAAGTCTTCAAGGGCGAAAAGATAACATTTTGGAGCACGTAAAAACGGAAAAGTGAGTAGAGAACGATAGCAGTTAGATGGTTTATACACAGACGTTTACAACCCTGTAATAAGGAAATTTCGGTAAGGGTTCCTTAAAAATACCACCGTAGTTTAAACTAAGCTAAAAAACTAAACTAAAACAAAAGTAAAGCTAATCTTAAACTAATAGAACTAAATAATAAACTAATTACGAAACTAAACTAAAGAATAAGCTACAACGAACTAAGTCGTTAGTTATATATAGTAAATTAGGGTGATGTTTACAAGGAACCTTTACCGAAATTGTGAACAAAATCCGCGTAAATGAAGGTTTCCGTACATCAAAATTGCGCGACCTCGCGGGAAGAATACGCACTGCCCATTGGTGAAAAAGTGAAATAAGTGGGCACTATTTAGGAAAATAGTTCATGGGTGCATCCAACTGTTCTCTATCAAGGTTTGCAGAGGCGAAATCCATCAGAGGATTTTTTTGTTCTATCTACCTTCCTGGCGCAGGGTACAAGAACACACGCTGATTTTATGACTCAATGTTTAATTGAAAACGTTGGATGGCAACAGTAGCTTATGTAGGCCTACTCATTAACCCCTACTCCCTACATGTTGTCCTGCACAGACGGTGGTTATAGGGTTTTATGGGTGGGAATTAGGACACGCAGTGGAATATACGCAGTGGAATATACTGGAATATACGCAGTGGAATATACAGTGGAATATACACGCAGTGGAATATATACACGCAGTGGAATATATACAGTGGAATATATATATATATAGTGGAAAATATACACGCAGTGGAATATACACGCAGTGGAATATATATACGCAGTGGAATATACACGCAGTGGAATATATACACGCAGTGGAATATACACGCAGTGGAATATACTCGAATTTCCCGAAAAATTGAAATGGTGGTTAGGAGGTCGTCCACCTCAACTTACCTGAGGTCCAACTTACCGTTCTGGAGTTAAATTAGTATAGTCCGCTGCGCGCAGCGCCGCGCACACCTTCAATTTACATGCGGAACAACTTACCCCCAGCGGCCGCGGGAAGCAACTTCGACTACATTTTCTTCACTTTACACATACTTCTAAAAATTTCCTTCTCTGCTTGTCCTATTTCCCAGCCCTCCAAAACTCTATTACCACCGTTTGTGCAGGACATAATGGTGGTACTAGGGGTATACGAGTGCGCCTACATAAGCTACTTTTGCCCGTTGGATATAAAAAACGTTTCTTTTTACATATAATTTAAAAATTCTCAAATACGGTAAACATTTGCAGTGAAGATTTATTAGCTAAGGATCCATTCTGATACCTCTCTGAGCTTTTGACGTACGTAATGCCCACAAAGGCATAATTGGACTTAGTCGAAGCCTAAACAGCTTAATTATGGAATAATAGAACTTGAAACCTGCAAATTTAATTGTCAGCAAAGGGCTATACTGATTGAGGGCAAATCGCAAACGCTCTAAGCTAGGAGTTTTTTCAAGAATGCCTTCAATCGACATGTTGTCGCAAAATATTTGATTTATGCACTAAACTTTGGAATGAAGATTAGACAGTTGTTTCAGTTTTTCTTGTTGCTTGCTTTGTCTTGAATTTGGCGCTTTGGAGCCACAGGTCCCTAACTTTTGACTTCACAGCCACAGTCTGTATAGTTGCCTATCGAGATTAAAATTGGATATTTAAACTGCAAAAACGACTGCTATTTAAACACATTTCTGTGAATGCATATAACACTCACAAATTGCGCCAACAAACGACTTCTGATAGGGACTGGTCACGAAACACAAACCATTTAATACTTTAGCCACTGAGGGTTAGCTAGAGATACGGTTTGAATTGGATAATGTAGAGTGCTCTGTTGTAATGAGCAGTTTAACAGCCAAATAATTAAGTGGACCCTAAGAACCCTTATATAGGACATTTATTGAATTCATATTGCTTCTTACGTGAATTATTAGATCAGCGTTGCTGCCGCA